CAAAAACACTCAGCTTTGATATTAATGAGTTTTTTGGGTTCATTGAGAACATGGTTGTTGTTCAATAATAAAATTATTCCTCAAAAATACAACTTGTCTAATAATTCTGCACTCCCTGTATAAAAAAGATCTGGTAGCTGATAGTAGATAGTGAAAACTGGAACTTTTCTGTTTGTTATTTATCTCTTATTTAATTACTTTGGTGTAGTATGAATGTCATTTGGAGATCTTAATCAGTAGGAAATTCTGTGAAACTTATGAAAATACAGCTAAAAGTCCGAAATCTCATTCAGGCTGATTGTGGCCCCTGGGCCTTGTATTGACGATGGCATGATGTTTTTGCTTCAATCGTGTTCCAATAAATATTTACTAATTACATTTTTTTTTCCAGCTGCATCTTTAAAAATGTCTTTGTGTTGCTTTGAGCCCAGTGCTTCCTGACTGTTATAACTCCAAAACCTCTTCTTATAAACTGCTTGAGCTCATTTTAAAATGAATATGGACTGCTTGGCTTAAATGTACTTTTATAAAAAGCTACTTAACAGCAATATATTTCAAATTAAAGTAGGTCTTAAACACATCCTTTGGATGGGAATCGCTGCCAAGTTGAAAGGTCGACTGTAACTTGTAATATCGTGTTGTTCAAATCAGAGCTCAAGTTAAACCAGGTTTGATGTGTCAAAGAACAAAATGAATAAAGGTTTGTAAATGTAGGTTTATTTGAACAAGAACGTTCAGTTACTGTGATTCTGATAAGGCACTGAATCGAATTTAAACAAACGCCAGAAAAGTAATTACATAATAATAATAAAAATAATAATAATAATGATAACTAAACTGTTAGTTATAGCATGTGCTGCAATTGTTCAGTATTGCATCAAAACCATTTATACTTTCCAAAAGGAAAAAAAAAGTTTGTTTTTTTTAACTCTTTACATGTTGACATTTTTTCATTTTAAGATAAGTTTATACAATTTTAACAAAAGTAACAATTCTGGCTTTGTAAAAAAAAAGAAGAAGCAAATTATTTAAATATTATGACACAATAGGATTAGAACAAGTTAAATAAAGAGGACACACATGAAAAGTTTGATTACATTTCTACAGGATCTGTGGTCAGTCACTGCCAACAACGCAGCTCTTTAAGATGTCGGTTTGTTGACAAAGTGCTGAACCCATCTTTTCCTTTGGCACTTTCAAAAGGACTCTCGATCAATAAAGTCTTTATACGTGAATGTCACAACCAAGTCTGAAATTACACAGAGGACTGAGCGTAGTTTCACTGTATCTCTGTAAACACTGAATATGGGCCTGGTGATGCTGATTTTAAGTGGTGGATGTACCAGTTTGGGATGAACCTCATTACTTTGGGATAAATCTGTACACGAGAAAGACGCCTCAGCTTGCTGTAGTGTTCTCAAACTATTTCTAAATAAAACTCAGTTTGCTGTTATCTATGACATCCGTGCATAATCTGCAAGAAGGGCTTGCAAAATTTCAATAAAGTGCAGAATTAGGGAGCCAGGAAGTGAATTATATACATTTAATTAGTGTTTATATAGTATCTGTTCACAAATCTGTGTTTTTGTTTAGAAACTTTCAGGACTTTGTCCTTTGCATAAAATGCTTAAAAGTGTTCCTGTCACATATCAGCTATATTGCTGCTTTCAGTGTATGTTACAGTATTACTTACATAGTTAAGTTTTTCCCCCAGAAATGTGGGGCCATGTGTTTATTGCTAGTTTTGGTCGGGGGGGACTTTACAATTTTTCTTGCTGACATATTCATCATGTTTGTGATGACGGCGTTCAAGACAGTTCTGAATTGCGGTGAAACAGTTTTCTGTGAGTTTTAGGTCACTTTATGTCACAGCATCTACGTCTACATTGAATCTAAAGCTGAATGCCACAAGTGTTTTATTTAATCTACATTATCAATGCTGTGTTTTGATAAGCATGAAATGTGGGTTTCTCACTATTTAAGCTGTTTAGCTCAGTTCATTTCTATTCTGCATGATGTGGATGAACAGGAAGTGGAACAGCTCCATGTTGGAAGAGCCCCTGAAAACTGAAATCGTGATTATTATGATCATTGTACCGAAGTTTTGAGATTAAAGAGTCACAGCTATTAGAAGAGATGATCATGAGATCTAGACTCGGGCTGAAATGAAATGAATGAATAAGCACACTAAACATCCTCCGACATGCTGTGAATCGTCTCTATTATCTTCTTCTTCAGCTTCCTCACTTTGTCAGGCGGTGTCTCATTCAGACACTCCTCCACATACCTCAGGAACCCTGCGTGTGGGGACGCTGCTTGAGTCTGACATAGTGTCCTCATGAGGTCCAGCACCTCGGTGGTGGTTGCCCGGTGGCTCGCGCGTTTGCGTCCAGATACTCTGCTGTCTGTGTGGGAGGAAGATGTGGAAGGGGAGGGGGACGAGGAAGGAGAGGAGTGCTGGGAGTCTGGGGGTGTAGGTGAGGGGGGGGCTTTGAGACCCCGCGTGTTCAGCTTGGAGACAGTTTGGTTGGTGGCACGGTAGTGTAAGGGGGGAGGTGGGGCTTGGCTGACCATATGGAGAAGACCGGTGTCCTGCAGCTGGCAGAAGTGGACGTCCTCGGGCTGCTCATCCTCGTCGCAGGAGTCGCAGAGGAACATGAGGTCACGGTAGTGCTTCCACTTTGGGAGGTAGAAGTCCTCCGAGCCGCACGTTTTGTTGGAGCTCACCGCCTTGTGTTCACGCTGGAAGATGGTTCGCAGGTTCCTGAACTTTGTCTTTATGTCTTCCACTAAAGGATGAGAAATGACAGAGATGCTGTGAGTTCAGATTAAAGGCTCCGTGTGGTGACAACATTAAGGCGGCAGGAGTGTTACCTGTGAATGAGACTGGCTCGCTGTTTGACAGGATGCTGCTCAGCGTCTCCAGCAGGCTCTGTCTCAGCAGACGGTTCCTGTAACTCTCAGATTTGTGGTTCCACAAACAGCTGTGCTCTGGAACAGAAGAAAACCATCAATTCTCACATCAAACCTGCTCGTGCAACTTTTTTAACCATGCATGGCAGTGGCTGAGACGTACAGCGACTCTCTCAGCTGCCTCTAACAGCTGATGACCACCATAACCAAACACGCAGCTCCCAGCACATCACTACAAACACAACAGAGGAACAAAAATCTAACATCTCTCTGTTGCAGTGATAGATGTAACATCCAGAGGGTAAGTCTAAAGGGTAACAAGCATTCATGATGAGTGGTGCCACCTACCGGAGTAAAATGAGATGAGCTGCTGAACTTTGGCCTCGCTCCAGAGGCAGCGGGTGTCAGCACTCAGTCTGTTGTCTGGCTGAGCCGAACTGGCTGTAGAGAAATTTAAAGGGGAGGGGTTGGTACAGGATCTGGTGTCTGGCAGTGAACTGGATGGAGAAGTTGGCAGCGTGGAAGTGGCTGATTGGCTGCCTAGTCTGAGGTTATCCGGAGCTGCAGGGAGGAACATTTGGTACCCTGCGCTTGTTTTGGCGTCGCTCTGAGTGGAGCTGGAGGGGGCAGAGGCGGTGCTGAGTTTGATGCTGCTGGTTTGGTTGGAGCTGGAGGAGAAACTGCTCAGGGTGGAGGACGGGGTCTGGTTTCCGTGCTCCCGATCCTTGTCTTCTTGCGGCGTCAGGATCTGCAGATCTTCAGAGCCGTCGTCTTCGTCACAGGACTCGCAGAGAAAAAGCAGCTGCTGGTAATGTTTCCATTTGGACACGTAGGGTTTGTCAGACGCCCTGCTTGCCTGGACCGCCTTGAACTCGCGGTTAAAAACAGTTCGTAGGTTCTTGAACTTGCACTTTATATCTTCAACTGCAAAAACAGCAACACAGCATCACTTTATGCTGGAAAACTGAAACATTTAGCAGCTCAGAGCTTCTGGAGATTGAAGAACACAAACATGACTTTATTATTTTGAAAAAAATGTGTTTTTCTTTCATTTTCTATGCAGACATCTAACTGTATGAAATCACTGTGTGTGTATATTTCAGCTTATGTTAAAATAACGTAAACATATATAAAGGAACAGTTTCACAAATGAGCTGTGGAGAGTGATAATTAGTATTTCCCAAAGATTTACAGTCTGTGCTTTGGATGAGTGATACTCATACTGTTAAATTGCTCCAGTGCAAATCTTTTAATTACAGAGTACTTTGAGACACACAAACTATGGAGAGGTATGATAAGCACAGCTCACAGGGCTATAACTGCTGGGAATGGTGGTCCATTTCAGTAGAGCAAGAGTACATCCTGTGAGCAGGGGAATGGCATTTTCTCTCAATAACAGCAGAGAATAGGGTAAAAATAACACTATTAAACAAAAAGACCAACATTTGTCCAAACGGAAATAAAACAACATTTATATCCTTCAGTTTTTCCTATGGTGAAGCTATAAGAAAAGTAAACAGCACATTTCTTATAATCAGCACTGACTGGTCAGTTAAGGATTTACAATGGGACGTTCTGTCCTGACGGTGCCAATTTCCAAACATTAACTAGTGGTTAGAAGGATAGTTAAATCACAGCAGAGACCTGCATGGTTTATAGGAAGCTGCTGGTAGTTGAAGGTGTCTGACTTTCTGCCATAAAGGTTTATAAGGTGCTGTAGCGTCACTAATGCACACAGAAAGAATTTTTACTACAATCAAATCCTCTAAAATTCCCCAAACTGAACTCTATTGTTCATGTCATCATGTCTATCAATAACATGGTGGAAATTTCCATAGAGCCTCATTCACTCTTTACGAACTGCAGCCATTTCTGTACAATGGGTTTAACAGGATGTGGAATAACTCTCCTCGACTGGCTGAAAGCCCAATCCAGGAGAGCCATTCAAAGTTTATAAAGAAATCTTACCAAAATATTGAATTATTCCTTTAAAAGCTTCCAAAATAACTAAACTTATCAAGAGAATGTGAAGAAGCAACTACCATTCAAAAAAAGTGATGTTGAGGAGACATTAGCTGAAGCTGAACTGGGATTGGGCTCTGCTTTCATGTAATACCAGTTTGTACCACAAGATGGGGCAGCCAGTCAATGTAACCTTTATTTAACCTGTTAAATTTCTTAAAGAGGAAAGGGCAAGGCTGAAAAGAACTACCACACATCAGAAAACAATACAGCCACCAGTAAACCGCCCCCTAGTGGTGGAAGTTTTAGCCTAAATTCACATACACTAAATAAAAAAGTAGCTTTAAAGCAGGGACTGTTCAACTGGGGGACAACAAGCCCTCAAACAGTCTGAGGTATGCAATTAGGTGAAGAATCCTGAGTTTGCTACTTCTGTAAGAAAACAACAGAAAAAAAAGTGAAAAACGGTGATGCTTACCTGAGAACGACACTGTGTGGTCAGACAGCTGGCTCCTCAGCGCCTCCAACAGCCTCAGTCTGAGCTGACGGTTGTTGTGGTTTTCAGACTTCTTGTTCCAGAGACAGTTGTGCTCTGTGGAAAAAAAAACCACACAGGAATCCCGTCAGCTATGAAACTACTCAAAACGTTACTTAATCTGAGGTTTTTGTCTACGTATGTACTGCTCTTCAGTAAAAACTCATGATTTTGAAGATGAAAAAGATCTTTTGTTTACCACAATAGAAAGAAATCAGAGCTCGCTCCCTCTCTTCAGTCCAGTAACATTTAATCATGACACTGGAGGGAACACAGGTGGACGAGGAGGAGGCAGACGAGGTGGACGGGGTGGGGAGGAAGGAGATGATGAGTCCTGGGGAGGTGAGGACAGGCTGGCCCTCTTCCTGCAGAGGGTTCAGTGGTGACAGCGGTGGCTCACCGGCGGCGGGGTCGTCCTGGTCCCAGCAGCCCTGCAGGAACATGAGCTGATGGTAGTGCTTCCACTGCGGCACAAACTCGTCGTCCGGGTTGCACGCCTTACTTGCTTTAACCATTTTGTACTGACGCTGAAAAGTCGTACGGAGATTCTTGAACTTGTTTTTGATGTCTTCCACTTGGGAAAAAAACCCATATAAATTAGTTAAAGGGTACATCTGACTGTCAAACCTCACACTCGTCAGCTGATGAGCACACCCCAGATCCTGTTTTCTCACTTTTAGAATAGCAATAATTTGAAATAATGGACTTAATATTTTACTAAAAATATTCGACTAATGACTGAGCCATCAGGAAAGTGGTTACTGAGGCCACAGAGACTCACACAGAAGCTTGAATGGGCTTACCCTCAGCCCAGTGCTACAAAGCGAGCTCAACATACCCACTGACAAGCAGCATAAGCGGTTACACAAAGCTGGTTAACAACTTGTTAAGTTTACCCAGGGCTTCCCCTGTGTGTACACATGAAAGGGGTGTTGGCAGTGCCTGACCACAAGCACTGATAAGTGTACTGGTAATAGAGCAGCTGATTTTTCAAAGTAAGATGAAACTTGTACTATGAGACGATATGAAGAGGTTAACCACACAATACAGACTGAAAGAAACAGCAGTGTGTGCGAGAGAGGAAAAGCACGATACAGTAATATCGTATTAATGGTCTGTACTTAAAGTGCTTTGATCAGTAAGACTGGAAAAGAGCAGCTATCTGACACCATGTTTAAATGGTTTCATTCTTTCAGCTGCAGTTCAACAGCCAGGGTAAACAATAAATATAAAAACAGAATTTAAACTTAGGCTGAGACTAAGTGGAAATAAACCCGGAATGTACAAACAGCTGTCAAAGCTGTCACATATCAAAAATTATATATAGTTTTGTCAAAAATCATCTAGCCTTTTTTATTCTTTTCAGATGCTGCCATCACCACCCTTTCATGAGAACGTCCTCTTAGCTCAATAAAGCCGGTGTTAACTTACCGACTTGACAACCACCTGTGTTACTGCTCTGCCTTATTGCCGTTGTTAGGATAAATGAAGCCAGATAACCAAAATATATCCTGGGTATTGCTGAGCTTGGTTCCTAGTACTGGGCACAGAAATTCCCCTGCTAGCCATTAATGAGAATGCAGGTTTATGGTTTTACTTTTATTACACACATAGTCTATGAGTTTGACAGATTTGGTTTATTTTCCTGCTGATTTACCTGTGAATGGGACTGGAGGTGGGAGAGTTGACAGCAGGATCCTCAGTGTTTCCAGGGTTTTCCATCGCAGCTGCCGGTTCTTATAACCCTCAGACTTGTGGTTCCACAGGCAGCTATGCTCTGAGAAATGAAACAAAGAAGATATAGCTAAAATACCTGCAGCTTCACAGGGTCTAGAGTGTGATAAATTAGAATAAAATCAAAACAAACTTGTAGTGCGCCTATGTCTAAGGGGCCAAACCAGGCAGGAAAAATGTAAAACAACATTTGCAAGGTCCAAAAATTTTAATTTTTCCTTTAATTTGGCACCTATCCCAGTAACATACACATCAATGTTGCGTTCAATTTCATCACTGTGGTTGTTGTTTAGCTCTTGTGGTGCTATCTAGTCTCTATTAAAGTTAGTTGTTTTTCTTTGGCCATGTTATATACACGATAACAGTATTTTAAAGATATTCCTATGTGGAAAACTGTGGGAACATCTGGAGACATTATTCATTACTTCAAGAAGGATATTTCGTTCACCAATTTAATTATTCTAACAACCTGTAATTATTAACAGCTACACACTTATTAATAACAGCCATTTTAAAATATGTTTAAAGCTGTTATTCACTATGATAAACGCTACAGATCTAAAAAAAAAACAACCCACTGGAGTAATGTTAGATACAGATTAAATATAAAAGTCTGCTCTTCTCATTTAAATTAAATCAATTGGCTAAAAGTATGTTTTTATTTAGTTTTTTTTTTATTGAATTGTGCAGAAAATAGCTCATAAAAACATGCAGAGAACTGATTTTTTTTCAGCCGATTTCAGTTGAAAAACAGCTAACTTGACTTCAGTTGCTGGTCGCCATTGCTCGTCTCTTTCTGCTGTCGCTCATTGCTAACAGCCGTTGGTCTCGTCCAGCAACCGTTGCCCACAAATGTTGCAGCTTCCGACACATCAACGAAAAGGGCAACTTTTAAAAACGTCTTTACACGCGGTGTGAAAAGAGTCCGCCAAGGAGAGTGGCACTTACTGGAGAAAAACGCTATAAGCGCCCTCTCTTTCTCCTCCGTCCAGTACCTCTCCGGAGTGAAGCTGAACGGGGACACCTCCATGTTTGATGTTGCCGTTTGCTCCTTCTTCTACGCGGCTGCACGGTCACGTGATACAGAATCCGATTGCCGATTGGACGATTTCTAGAGATTCCTGAATAAATAGCCATATTGCCCGGTTGAGGTCGCTGTCGATTAGTGTTGTTTTTCTTCAACAAACAAAAACACTATTTTATGTATTTTATTTATTTTTCAAGTTTAATTAAAAATTGCTGAGCTTAGTGATTAAAATCAAGACGACTGACTTTTTAAAAATAATTTAAATACATTTATAGTAATTCATTATAACTCTTTAAAAGTAACATTAAAAGGTAAAGTTAAGTTAAAATATTAATTAATTCTCACCTTATAGCAAAGGCAGCCAAACACTAAAAACTGCCAATAGCCATAGAGCTTCAATATGGTGGAACTGATCACCACCTGCACTCATGTATATATCATGTATATATCTATCCACTTAGCACTTTTAATTCTTATTCTTATTTTATATTTTTATGACAGTATGTTTGCACTAAGCACCGCAGCAATTTCCTAATGTTGTAAACCTGCTCAACATTTGGCAATAAAACCCTTTCTGATTCTGATTCTGGAAACCTGAAAAATATAACCTAAAAAAGAAATCAAACTGAAAAATTATTACATAGACGCTCAAATCACATTGGAGAAAAATGGGAAAAAAGGATGTGGACAAAAAAGCTGCATATGATAATAAAAAATGCTCAATTAAATAGAATTAAATTAAATAAAATAGAACAATGAGCTCAGTAAGTAAAATAATAAGTAAAATTAATTCCAAACTGCTGTTATACTCTTAACAGCTGAGTACAATAATAAATCTATTTAATCACTGGTCTGGGTGAAATATCCAGTCATTTAAAAAGAAATTTTAAAATGATGAGCTGCAGCTGATTGGGGTAAAGAGAAGCAGTTATATGGCTCTTGGGAAAACAAATGACAGCTGGTGTGAGTATGGAGAAAGGACTAAGAAGCAAAGTGTTGTTGAACTGCTTTTATTTCCAATAACCAACGACTGGCTTGTACACTTCCAGACAAGACGATAGACAATGTGTATTTACAGTGTACGACCCATGTACACGTGTCCTGTCCATGTACAATATTTACACTGTAGAGTCAGCTGGACTGCTGGTGAAGGAACTGAGTGTATGCAGTGGAGGATCAATTAAACCTCAGTGTTCACATACACACTAATACCCTGGCTAGGATCTGGGCTCTGTTTGTACTTGAAACTCAGTCACCCTGAAATGAATTTTAGAGTTCATTTAATGAAGAAGGCTAAAAAAAATAGCAGATAAGGTAGCTTTTATCCAGCACCATTTGATTTCATTAAGGTGGACCTATTCTGCTTTTCTGTTCTTCCAAGTGACAAATGTTTATAATAAATAAAGCCAAAGTCTCAAACATTGAGGTACAAACATTGTATGTACAAGCAATTTTAAACGGCTCTAAGTGTTTGGTACATATGTTTTTTTCTGCTCTTCGCTCTGTATGATGTCAAAGAGAGGGTCCTTATATGGTTATCAGCATAGAAGCCCCACCCACGTGCTGGTCAAGTTTTTGTTAGTGAGGGGAAGCCAATCAGAAAAAGGCTGGCTCGCTCAAAGACCTTGGTAAAAATAAGAAAAATGATTGGACTTCCCAATACGATTTAGCCATAAGTTTGGCTAAGATTTAAAGTAAAAGATCAACTTAGCTGCACAAAGGCCTCGTATAAGATAAACAGGGACTATTTTGACCCATGAATCATGCAAAACTGAAGTTGAAGAGTAATACATACAGAGCTGGAAATGAGTAGAACAGGCTCAGGTAAAATAGATGCTTCATGGTCTAAAAATGACCAAATATATGCTTAACGGGAAAGTGCGAGTTTTATCTGTTTCACACTCGATGCCATGAGAGGAAGAAAATACTTATCCTTGCAATGTAAAAATATTTCAGCTTTAAGAAAAAATATGTTTGATCCCAATAAGCTGACTTTCTCCTGTAGGGTGAGGACATTAGCCAGAAATGGAAGACAAGCTTATTGTTAGCAGAGACAGAACAAAAAAAAAAAAATAGGAGCAAGGACTTCCTGGTAAATTCAGAAAATGTGCCATTTTAACTCCACTCCAGGTACTGGTCGTACTCCTCTTCCTAACTTCTGCTGTTTGGGTGAATATTTGTGCCTTTGTGTGTGTGTGTGTGTGTGTGTGTGTGTGGAGGGGGGGTTTACGCATAAGAATGACTGGTCTGCAGTGGTTAAGGCAAAAAGTCTGTTTTACTTTTCTTAACAGGAAGTACTTCCTGTTAATTAAGTTTGAGTAAATTAAAAGCTGATGTGTTTTTTGGGTTGTTTTTTTTTTTTTCCAGAAAGTCAAAACCTGTTTGGTGGGTGAAACTTTGAGTTTCACATAAATACTGATCATTGGGATACTAGTGTGCAGGTAAATATACTCAGGTGTAAGAACGAGAAAATGGACTGGTTGTCCGTGTGACCTGAATGAATTTAAAAATGACTGTTGGTCTTGTATAACAGTTTAGCTGCGTAGTCGAACCACCCCACACTCATCCCACTGAGCTACCACACAACCACAACAAGCAAGCCAATCCCACAGTTCAGTGACAATATATACAAACCATAATATCATTCACATGTACATTTACATTTTAAGGTCATAAAGCCAGTCACTATGTACACTCTGTGCCATTTATACACTTTTAAACTCCTCAGCATACGTTGGAAATCTTCTCTAAAGCTCTTGTAGAATCTCTCTCCGGTGCTTCAAGTATAAGTTCATTCACAGGAATTATCACTGCTGCCAGGGGAAACACATACACCTCGTGTCGGCAGTATTTTTGCAAGTTAAAAGTAAAACTTGCATGAAAATACAGGGAGGCAAAGCACCCAGTTGAAGAGAAGAAGACAGGCAAAGACACTGGGTGGCCACAGGTACAACCGTGTGAGGATGTTCCCACTGCCAGCAGCCAGCAGCACTTTTATAAAGTGACTTTGAAAGATAAAAAAATAAAACACAAGTGATGGAAGATAAGAAAAACAAGGTTGATTGTGAGGTAGAGTCACAAACTGGTACACTAAAGTGGGAAAAATAAAAGTAAAATCTATGTGGTGAAGAGGCTCTGTTGAGAATAAAAAGTTTTTAAAAAATTATCTGCATCTTTTGGATCGCCTGAGCCTTAGTTTTGCTCTGGTTTACATTTAAAGAAGGAAAGAAACAAAAAGATTAAATTGATATTTCAGGTGGATGACTCGTCTCTCAGCTTGTCACATTCACACCTCAGTTAGCACTCTTAGTTCATAGCAAGTAAGATACTGTACAATTAAAAAAAATTTAAAAAAATAGCATTACCTGTAACTAAAAAAGAAACCTTAACAACAACAACAATAAAAAGAGAGAGTATAAATCAACACAGATGTTTTGGCTGCCTTAAATACGATGCAGACGTGTTTCTTTTGTACGAGAACCAGAGAAAAACACAGCGTCAGAATGATACAGCTAAAAGGTAAAAACACCTTTTCTTAAAGATTAAAGATAAACAAAAACCCTTCAGTGAAAACTTCAAATATACTTTCTGTTAAAGTGGGCAGATCCTAAACCAGCCACGCCTCCTTCTCCATTAAAAAAACCCAAAAAAACAAGAAACTACACAAAACTTGGTCCCTCCTCTTGTTTCCTGTCAGGCAACTAATCGTCTTTGATTCCTCTCTCCGATCGCATGATGACATCTTGTCCGCAGCTCTTTGACGAATCATTACCTCACTGGTCACATGATGTCACAGATCTGTGAATAAAAATGTTAGTCCCACCTTCCAGCAAATAGCTCCCTCCAGCCAATCAGTAAAAGTACACTTAGTTCTGCCGGACGGCAAAAAAATGTGTTCTTTGTTACAAAGCGTCACTCGATCAAACCACGCCTTTAGCCCCGCCCTCCACCTGTCCATCAAACGATGCTGTCATGCAGCAGCGGCTCAAAGTCCGCGTCGCAGGCTGCGGGCGGGCTCTCCTCATCGCTGCCTGGCAGCGGCGTGTTGATGTGGACACCGGCCAGCGAGGACATGGACTCTTTACTGTCAGGGTGGGGCTTGTCACTGAGGGACAGCTGGGAGGAAGAGGAGGAGCAGGAGGTTTTCTCAGGGATGAAGAGAGCGACAAGGAAAGCGATGACCACGGTGCATGCCCCTAACAGGAAGGGCGGGCCTGGGATTAGTGCACGCTAGGAGAAAGGGAGAAAAAGAAAGCTAATTTCAACAACAAAGCACATTTAAGTGTAGTTAATTACTGACATGAGGATGGAGTCACCTGCTAATTTTAAGCTTAAAATAGCCAATCGTGTGAATTACAAAAAAAAAAAAAATCACTGTACAATTGGTATGAAGGGAGACACTATCCTTACAGACCAAAACCACTCCTCTGTAGCAGACTGTAAACTTGTTTACTTTTGCTGTAAAGTTGCATTTTGCAAGCCGCCTCAAGTGGCCATTAGAGGAACTGCAGTTTCTGGTACATTCAGTTTACAGCCCTTAAGACTTCTCCTTGGCTTGTGTTACTTTTAAATTGTTGTGGAAAACACATCTAGAAACAATCAATGACTCCATGACATCACCGGAACCTAAATAAAGGTTCAATAGGAAGAAAATGTCTTTACTTATTTCAAATGGCTGTATGGAATTAAGTTCCTTCATCCTGCACTTTTCCTGTGAATGTTGAAGGTGACCACATCCCAGTTTTAAAGCCCCAACTTTATAAGATGAGTAAGGTCATTTTCTCATTGGCTTCTTTGCAGTCAGACTTCTTATTGGGACTATAGAAGGCTCACCCTGCTGGCTACTAAAGATAATGCTGATTTAAGGCACTACAGCACAGACCTGGAAGCCATAACTGTTCCAAAAGCGACAGGCTTCTCCACTAGTACCTACTTGACTTGACTGTTCCCAGTTTTGGTGACAACAATAGAGAATGTCGAGGAGATGGTGTACCTGTTGCTCTGTCTATGGCTTTTTGTCAGACTCAGGGACCACAATGCTGTTTTTTTGTACAGCCATTTACCTTGTTGCCAGGTTTCAAAAATGCTGGTTTTGAATTTTTTTTCCAGAAGTCACTAGTCACTAGAAGTAAGTAGGCACTAGAGAAAAAGAGGCATTATTGTCAGGATTGGAGTGCATGCTGTACCTCAGTGGGACTGTGCAGTGGCAGGGGGTCGATGTTGTAGTCTCCCTGGATGGGGTCCATGGAATTAAACTCGACGTTGAAGAGAAAGAAGATGAATCCGTACAGAGCTGGGCCGAGGCCGTTACACAGACCTCTGATGCCTGTGATCATCCCCTGCACTACGCCTGCAACAGGGCGGAAGAAGAAAGGTCATGAAGGCGCAGCAATGCAAGAGTTATTTTACTTCCTGGTTAAGTAACAAAAACTACAATCTGAAACATCTATTACACAACAGTGACCTACTGAAGTGAGAGAGGACAGATTTTATTTGTCACCTTGTTTATCGGGATCAGCAGACTGTGACACCAAAGCAGAAACTGCTGGGAAGGTGATGGAGGACATCGCTGCTACAGCACCAGCAGCCCACATCATCCTGTTGCAAATATACATATTTATACTTGGTTAAAGATGTGCATATCTGGTCTTTTTGTGAGTTGGAACTTAAAGCAAATACCAAAATGTAGTGTAAATAATTGCCTGCTACACAAGCACACACTCAGCAACTCTCACCATGGCTCTGATCCAAAGCCGTACCAGGCCAGCTGAAGGATCTGGAAGCCCAAACCTAACAGAACAGTGTTTTTAGTACCCAGAGTTCTCATCAGCAGAGTGAGGAAGAGAGTCTGTGGGCAAAGAGGAGATGAGAATTTACAATTATTTAACAGTTCACTAGAATTTATTAACATCTCTTATCGTAATAAGCAGTGTAAGTATAAAGTTGACAGAGAACAAGTCACCCAAGTGTGTATGTTAACTATCAGCCTAAATATTTACTGATGCACTGCTTATGAGGGTAAGTTGTTCTTATTGTTTATGGAAACTAAAATAAAACAGCGATTTTTTTCAATTATATCCTAATGTGTGTGTAAAATAGGCTTATATTTAAAAGGAGTAATAAATAGCCTCTAATGTGTTGGTTACCTGAGCTACAATGGACAGAATGCCCACAACTCCTATAAAAACAGCGAGGGTCGTTGAGGAGAAGTTTATGACCTGGAAAGAGACAAGAAAGAATTTTTATTGATACTATATAAGACAACATAATTTTGTTCCACATTTTTAATTTATAAAACAAGAGAATTGCAGCTCAACATGGGTCAAGTGGGTAGTGAATTAATTCTGAACATATAGTTAAGATCAAAGTAAGCAGGTATTCACACATCAAAAGAGTTGCAGCTTCATGCTCTGCCAAGAGCTCCACTTAATAAATAAGATGATATCATCTGCATAAAAACTAACATTGCAATGTTCAGTTGAAAAGTAAATATTTATGTACAGAGGAAATTGCAAAGGCCCTGATCTAGGCCCACAAATCTATGATTCAAAAAAATAATTTCCCCCAGGGATCAATAAAGTATTCTGATTCTGATTCGTTAATTTTGTCTTACCTAAATTTGTTTGTACTCTATGAATTCATTTATGACTCCCTCAGAACATGAAGGTCTAGCTGACTTAGAAAAGTAATTCACACAACATTCAACTAACTACTGCTTATAATGATTATGATTATTTTTGCAGTTTGGTCATTTACAATTTTCCAAAACACCATAAGCCATAAAGTCTCAGAATTAGAATTAAATGCATAAAATAAGACATAAAATATACATAAAGAAAACCTATTCTTACAGGCGTTATCCAATCCTATCTTCTTCATTCATTAAAAACTTCCATCCTTGCTGGATGTCATCACTTATAGTCAGATTTCAGTGAATTTCTAACAGATCAGTTGCGCCTATTCTGGCATCCTCCTCGGACACTATTGTTCCAGTTTATTCAGTCAGATTTTCTCCTGGTTTTTTAGCTCAGCGTGTGGTCTTCTGTCTTATATCACCACCTCTTTCTCAATTTCACCTCAAGGTAAACATGTCTCACTATGAAGAGACATGTAAGTGTGCAGATTGCACATCGAGTTTCCACGAGCTCACTGATTTCAAATAATTCACTAATATATGCACGGTAGAATAAACAAAAATGGCCTGTGAAAGGTTTATGAAGCTGTCAGTTACTTTGCACATATACTTATTTTTTGTGCAGGGTAAGAACATTTTTACACACATATTTCAGAATGAGGAAGATTTAATGTAAAGACAGACACAAAAGAATGGCTGACCGTTGATGCAGCAATGTGATCTGTGCCTTAAGTGTTTCACGCTACAGCTAATGACCCTGTCTGCTGTGTGACTGTTGGTAGATTCGTGGTAATAGTATTCTTAACAACATCAATACCAGCATTGACGCTAATATTCTTGGAAAATGAGTGCGTCAGGTGGCTCACCTGTCTCAGGTAAAGGAAAAAACTGGAGTACTGTCCGGCCTCAGGTAGGTAAGACAGGAACACGGTGATACAGATCAGTAAGACTGTGGAGTCCTGACCCACCTTCCTCAGAGACTGAAGGAGAGAGAGAAAGAAAGAGAGAGGGAGAGAGAGACAGGAAATACAACACCGAGGCTGTCAGATGATCAGTTAGACTTCAGTTAGTGTCTGGGATTCAAAGGGTCAATGTTACAGGTCTGACGTGCAAATGACTTGCATCTCATTTCTCTTTATTCCCCCCCTAACAGAAACGAGCTGTCATGCATTATATAATGTTATAGCATCATTAAATTATTAAAATAAAGTTACTGCGTTGAGGAACATTTACATACTGTGTCCGAAAACAGAGAAGAGAGTCAAATCACTGAGGAAAGGCTTCATGCAACTACAAAATACACTATGACTTAGGGCTGGGCGATATGGCCTAAAATCCATATCACGGTATAATTTGAAGCACGTGCAGTAACGATATATATCGCGATATATTCTTTTCTTCTGTCTAACGTATTTTCCACACTATAAGGCACACTTAAAATCCTTTAATTTTCTCAAAAATCGAGAGTGTGCCTTATGTATGAATTCTGGTTGTGCTTACTGACTTCGAACCGATTTTGGCGTGCAGAAATCTGTTAAAAAATGTTTTAGTACAACTTTGGTAAGCCGCACTGCTTGATGGATTGTCAGAGCATTACGGCTGCCGTAGTGAGGAGCTTCGCGGAGTAATCTGAGTCCAAAACTCCGTCCTGTTCAGGTCCCAAAGTCAAACGAACACTAAGAGTTAAAAACGGTCTAAATTCTTTCATCTTTAATAAAATCATCAGCGTTGCTGCTTTACCAGGTGTAACAATTGAGTTTAACATTCAGGCATCCATGAAAACAGATTTATTAAATTTAACGGAGTTAGAAGTTAACAGGAAGTTAGCTCGCTAGTTCCACCTAAACATTTCATACCATGTTCTGACTGAGAGATTTTTTAAACTAATTAAAACGTACAGCTCTGCTACAACTTCCAACATAAATGAAGACAGAAAACTAAACAGCAGTGGCGTTTGCAGGGTTACTGAAGTTGGACTACCTGGTATATAATGTTGTGCTACGTGATCGCTAGCGACACAGCTATGTTAGCATAACATTAGCACAGTGAAGCTGGAGGATGAACGCCAACTTTTTTTTCCACTCGATAAAAGTTAACGTGAGGGATTCTGGTGGTCAGGGACAAATGCAATCGCATAGCAGGATGCTGTACACGGGCCAAACTTCAGTCAGGAAAACAACTGAGATTATTCATCCACAATACGAGGTTAGTTATTAATATACTGCAACAAGATGGGAATAGAACAGCTGCGAGAGAATTCAACATTAATGAATCAATGTTACGGAAGTGGAGGAAGCGCAGTTTTTGGCTTTCCCCATATTTCAAAAGTGCTTCATCTCTTTGCTATGACTGTCGCCCGCCATAATTTGCAGATGATAATGGTTGTAGCTGCTGCGATGCTTTCGACCAAAACAGGCGCAGCTTGATGACATCATCAACATGCGCTATCGCGGTAGAGCGGTATAGTCAAAATCTCGATCGTTGGCCAAATTTATATCGTTTCTATCGCCCACCCCTAACCAGAGTAATCTGATTTGAGCTCATTATTTAACCAGCTAATCAAATATGGTTCTGTAAACGATTAGTTACTGACAGCAAATGGGTCGGCCTGCTCCCAGGAAATGGGCGTCCCCCAGCTGCTGAGCCTCATCTTGTCAGGCAAAGACTCGGGCACGGCCAGCAGGATGAAGCAGATGTCAGCCAGAGCGATCAGCGTGGCCACCAGAACCACCAGATTGTCCCCGTACCAGGCGGAAAGGTACGCTCCGATGGCCGGGCTCGTCACCAGGCTGGCTGCAAAGGTGGCCGACACCTGAAGGGATGAATTTCAACAGAGCACAGCTCAGGTATTTTTCTGTCCTGACTCATGTCTGCACACAGATTAAGCTGATCTGTCAGTTTCTTTTCGTGTAAGATTCAGTTTCAGGAATTCAATACCATCAACAGTCTGTCTGTCTGCCTGATGCACTGTTTGATTTTAGGGGTGTACATTAGGACTCCTTACCAGACCATAGGCTGTACTCCTCTCTCTCTCATCCGTAACATCGGCAACGTAGGCGAAGATGACTGAGAAAGTCACGGAGAAAGCTCCAGACATGGAGATCATGGCGAAGTACCACCTGGAGGAAGTGAAAAATAGATTCAGTTTCAAGAAGACTGATACGAGAATTTAAACTTCTCTGACTCTCTAATTGACTGAAATCCAGCAGTGAATTGATTTTTGACAGGTACACTGAAATATTTCATTAAAAGATTGACTATTTCACTCAGGTCGGATCCATTAGAGCAGCAGTTCCTAACCTTTTAGATCTGATGTAACTGCCCAGCAACACTGTTTATGTTCAACTGCATAATGCTGTATACATTTTAAACTCAATATCAACTAGTTTGAACTCTTTGTGTCTCAGTTTAATCAACAATGTTACTTAAGATTCTAACTCACATTTCAATTGCTTGAAATCTTGCTATTTCAACTATTAATTTGTGTTAGCTCAGAAGGTAAATGCTAGCCATACTTTCCGATGTAACCTTTTTTAGTCATAATATTGTTGCAACAGAGAATATTAGAGTCCTACCAGGGGCTGAGCCTCATCAGAGGGATTGGAGCACAGGTGAAGAAGACGGTGACCAAAAGGAAGGACCGCCTGCCCCATACGTCTGACAACGCACCAATCAGAGGCGCAGACATGAATGACAGCAGACCCTAGAAAGGCGGAGTCAATGACAAAATTGTTTAAAAAAGTTGCAGCAACAGTGAAATATATCTGTGTGGTCATGCCATGCTTGATTCATCTTTTATTCATGACGGTTTTCTGTCATTATTACTTATCACGCCTAAAGTCTAGATATCGTTCAAAAATGACCCATTTCATTGTAGCTATTTTCCTAAATCACTGTTACACCCGTTTAATCTGTATAGCATCAACAGAATGAGTCACAAAATGGAAAAGTTGAGTTTCTTACCTTCACGCCCTGAATGAGTCCATTCATCAGGAATGTGTGCTGGGGAAATGTTTCATGCAAAACCTACGAAAAAAGGTACAACACCATCACGAATGAAACAGTATGAAGCAAGGTACAGAATGTATGCAGTTAGAGCTGGAAAGTCTTGGACAACTTTCACAATTTTTCATTAAAAACTATTAAAAATAAAATGATCAAGCCACTGGAAATGAGGCTGTGTATAAAAATAACAGTAATTTCTCATTGGTTAATGCAAAGGGTTTTTTTAACCCCTCAAATTACATCTTATGAACTTCATTCACACACTGACATATTTAATTTCCAAAGTTTAAAATTTAACTCATCTTGATCTGCAACATATATGCTATTTATGTACTTTGGAACACAAAGGACTAAGATACACCTGCTGATCTTACAAACAATCACAGCCAAATTTCCCAGATTAAGGTTTAAGTCTAGTCCCAAACTTAAAGAAAGACTCAGTGGAAATCTCCACTGAAAATATTTATGGTCTAGGACTGGGAAACACACATAATCAAAACACATAAAATTACTCTGATATTCTTTTACCATATTTAGATTTGTATTATTTTAATGCTTTCAAATGCATGTAGATGAGATTTGTTAATACAAAATCACTACTTTTCCTAATGCTTTACATTTTGACAAACCTACATTCACAAAACCAAACCCTCTTCCAGAGAACAGAATAAAGACTGGATTACTACCAAAGGGTTCATTTTGGTTGTAATAGGGGTTTTGTCCCATATTGATGTAAAATAGCCATATAGTGCCAGTCAGATTTGAGAAGGACAATCCAATAATATAGATTTTTCAACATCTTCTTCTAACTATAAACAATATAGCTCAGTCTTAATTCAGTAAGTGCTAAATCCATTGTAAAATGCAAAGCAGACCTGGAAAAACGGACTAACAGTGAAAAGGACACTGACATCATCTCTGCAATAATGCTGCCTACACAGCATGACTAATTTTTTATGTCATCATTTCTTGTTCGGTCTTATTCACACAGAGACTTTGAATGAACTGGGGTAGCTATATAGATGTTAATGTAAAAACCAATCGGTGTTACTCACAGTGAGCATGGGTGTGGTGAGTAAACCCCAGGAGAAAAACTCCAGGAAGATCACCACCACGGCATGATACACGCTGGGCCTGCCGATGCCCTGCTGGAGCTGAAACGAAAGAGAAACAACACAGACATGTGTCATATGATCATGAATGGATTTTAAGGTGGTATTTCAGCAGGACTTTAAACAATCATCCATCGAGTTTTAATGGTTTCCCTTCGTTCCAGGCCCTTATTTTGTGTTTTTTGGTACAAAAAGTCAACTTTCACAGACAGCTGGTTGGCAGCTGGTTACCTGCCATTTTTTGTCTCAACATGACATTATCATCATCACATGGTAATGTTGTTGAGAGCGGGGACTGTTTCCAACATTGTCCCCTAGGGTCTGACATCTAGGATTTGCCAGTGAATACTGAAATTATTGACACACCAAGTCAGAATTTATGTGCAAAATATTTGCAAAAATTCATGGAAAATCTTTTGTTTCTTGTTGCGTTCCAGAGCTAAAACGTCACATGATAAAAAAAAATGATTCTCGTGTCTTCCAAAATTAGGTTTTACTAATAAATCCGTGTCTACTTAATAAGGTTGCAACATGCCGGTGAGAGACAGCAGCCTACGATTGTCATCTTTTCTCCACCTACCTGGTACCCCTCTTATTTAGCGAATTATGTGAGCCATCACCACAGGTTGAGGCCACCATTACAACAAATGCCACCAGATAAAGGTGAACCACTGGAACACAAACGAATCTTCGTCGCACTCATACGAACCAAAGATTTTGCGTTCCTGCAAACAAATAACAGCGTTACAATCCTTCCTCAAACACAGTACCAGCCGCGGCCATTTTCCTCTCGCTTCGCCAAGGCTGCATGGCCAGAAGCATGAAAAGCAAATCATCATTGTTGTCGTTAAAGCTTGGACCAGCGTGACTATGAACCAGACTTGGTGTGAGGCAAGATTTACGTTTGTTTTTAACTGGATTTCAGTGTTTCAGAAGCATAAACCGAGGTAATGGTTTTGTGGAAGGGATAAACACATAGGGTTAAATAAGACACTTTTTATGGCAGACAGGTAAAACTGCAGTCTCAACTGAACCCATTTTCTAACACGTTTTAAAGATGATTAAAACACAGCGAGTATTAAAACTGGAGCACAGCACATGAAGTGATTACCAGCCGGCTGACACAGATACACAGGATTTAGGTGGCAAATTGGACCATTTTCTATATTTAGTTTGACTAAAAGCAGGTTTCACTAGCACACATTAGAACCACATAGATTATGTGTTACTCTTGGCTGTCCTTCTGTACAAATAATTTTCATAAGAGCAGGAGTGATGTGGAAAAGATTCCTGTATGACCAAATACAACGTTCTTCTTTAGTGACTCCATAAAATGACATGATAAAGAAATTATATTTGCATAATTTAAAATTATGGGTAATAACTTTTGTTTCTTTGTTTTTTGCAGGAATTAGCCAATTTGTGTGGCAGGTGTTGTGGGAAATAAATACTTGTAATTACCACACTAACATGTACATCATGGTTATTTGTCTTTTTAGTGTTTGTGCACAAAATATTGGAAATATTACAAAACTATAAAACTAATATCCCCCATGTGTTATGTTTATTTAAATGTTGTTGTATTTCATTTATATTACGGTGTTAAAATCATACTAGAATACATAACTCATTTAATAATTCTTTTATTTTTTCTAGTATTATTGAAACAAATAAAATTTATTTTTAAGTACTAACAGGAGACAATTGTCTACATAAATGTAATGTTTGTACAATTTGTGTTTAAAAAAATTATAAACAGAAATGAATGAAAAGTATAAATAATGAGATTAGAACATGTCAGAAAAGTTGTCATATATAATGGAAAGATCAAAGCTGCGACCCCACTTGGTCATTTTGGTGCTAAAACAGTTTTAATGTCTTCTATTTTTAGACTTAAGTCACTGCTTTACCCTCACGTCCAACCTAGTTTCTGTCTGCAAAACACCCTAAGTTCAGTCATCAGCACCACAACTATTAAAATAAACAATTTTTGGCTGTATGGATAAAAGAAACTCAGAGATCTGTTTTAAATAAAATGAATCTATGTGTCTCTATGATCAGGCCAGACTGAGAGATGAACAAATCTAGCTAAAATTCGGAAATGAACTTGGAAATCTCTGTTCAGGACTTTTTAAAGCTGAGATGCAACAAATGCTACACAAACGAGAAGAAATGGAGGGTCCCCTGAAATCTATTTTCAGTTGTGAATTTACCCCCTACTGCCCTTCTTGATTTCACTGATAAACATCTCCAAATTTTGCCAGGAAAAGCTTCATAGCTAAAAAAGTATTAGATAATGATTTTTTAAATCAAGTCTTATTAAATATGCTGTACAGTTCTTCTTTTTCTACTTTATGAAAATTGATGAAGAGGTAGATGTGACCTTAACCCTAAACAGTGACCTGTTTAATATTAAGAAGGTAAATGATTAAATAGAGGACTCTTTGGGTAAGAGACACTTTGGCGTATCTCTGGGATTAGAATAGACATTTGACATTTCTGCTTCAGCCTAACTGCAACTGTAAATTACAGAGAAATAACCTCATTTTAACAATGATTTATTAAACTGATATTTCTAAATATTCTGGAACTCTCCCATATCTGATGTAACAGAAATAAAAAATGATATCAGTACGATTCCATTTTAAGATCGACGTCCTCTCCATTAACTGCACCCTGCTCTGCAACCTTTGAAAAAATGACCTTGGCTTGCGTTTCGATAGGGTCCTCCTGGATGCTCCAGAGACCACAGAAAATACTATTATGGCTCTCTCCCATTGCTTTAGATAGAGGTTTTAACTGCTCAAAGATGGTTGCCGAGTGAGAAGAGTTGCTTCTAGAAGGTCTCTGGAAGCATATGAATTTTTAAAAATGCCAGCAATGAAAGCAAAAAACTGAAATACTCTGCTCAGTGGTTTCCATTGCAGTTAATAAGAAGAACAATAATGTTAAGTGTAATGATGCATTCACAACAGATGTGAAGCCAAGTTTTCGCGAGATTATCCAGCAGACTGTCGAGTCTCACGACGACATCGACAATCAGATATGCAGCAAGCTTACTGTCACCATCTGAGGGCAGCTGGAGCTGAATGGTTCAACTGCATTTTTATAGAGAGAAATAGAAGAAGACTTGGAGAAAATTGAGCAAAAATATTTTATGATTTTATGGTAAATTCTGCATGACACAAACCATAAATTGTCTATGCTAAATAGACAATAAATGATCAAACAGTAACTAAATATGAATCTAATGCTGAGCCCAGCTTTTTGGACTTGCCTGGACTTTGTCAGCATCCTGAAGTGATAAAAGGTTTAGTTTGAGGCTTTGCAGAAAGATCTCTGCTGAAGCCAAAGCACATTTACTCCATAATGCTATATTATTACACAACGCACTTAACCACCTACCTGAGCGTTACACAGTGGGGCTGTGTTTTTACAGATTTACTAGAGGGGTTGTAATGCATGTAGCCAGATGAGACATGCATTAACTATGTACCGTACAACCATGCTTTCACCTTTCGCTACAATTAAATATTAAGTGACGCTTTTAAACTGCATCTGCTGACCACATTAACAAACAACCCATTACTAAAAAAGCTATTGGTCTATTTTAGTCTTGCTACCTTTGTTTATCTAGTTCCTGCTGTGATTTAAGTTAAATATAAAATTTAATTCCCGCCTCTCCTGTTTCCCCCATATCTTATTGTTAAGCTCTGTCACCGTATTAGGTGTTCCTCTTTTATTTTGGTAGTCTTTATCTTTTGTATTTAGTTTTACTTCCTCTGTTATCATTGATTAGTTTCAGCTGTCTTCCAGGTGTTTCCCCTTCCCTTGATTAGCCCCAGTGTGTCCTGTGAATATGTAAGCATCAGTTTCTTTTTGTCCTTTGTCATATTGTCTGCTGTATTGTTTACTCTAACGACTAGTTAGCAAAGTGCTCTAACAGTTACTTTGCTGATGACCTCGTGGTCTTAGTGGCTAGTTTTAAGTTTTTAATAGAACAAGATGTTCTTTTGGTAGATTTTGGTCACTTTCAGAGAGAAACGGATCATAAAGCTACATATGCTTTACACTATAGTTACCACATGGTTAATGTCACTTCACCTCCTCACTTGTTTTTCTTGCAAGTTCAATTTAAGCCTCTTACCAATTTAGTTTTCCATTTAATTGTAATTGTAGCAAATGATAGATGCATTTTGTATGTTCCCCAGGAATGTGTTACCTAATGCTTGCACTAGCATAAAATCAGTTAAATATGAGGCTGGGTATTTTGCAGACATTTTAAGTGACAAACATGACACTTCAAATAATCCAAAACTGAAACCACCGCCCCGGGGGGCGGGCGGTATGAAAAAAAAGAAAGAAAAAAGAACGCTTTGACACTGCTAGCATAATGCACAGGTTGTTGACGGGGCTCCCACACAAACGCAAAGCAGGAGATGAAGCATCGCCAAATATGTTTCCAAACCAACTTCCTTCCAAGCCAAAGACTAGAAAATATGGTGAAGCAGATCTTCCCTTTGGTTTCACCTGCACAAGTGCCGAGGTAGGTCTCCCCTGCAGAATTGGTTTTCCCTTCGTCGGGAGCAGCGCTGGGCTCTCCAAATCACGGACAAACAGTATCCCACATTCTTGATTTTTAGTTCACAAACACTTGTTGTAATGACTAACTACTCCTGACATTTTGGAGATGTTAGCTCTTTATACACTAAAGTTACAGCTGGATACAAATAATATCAGGCTGATCCTGCCACGATTTGTTCCCCTGGTTCAAATCACAGACAAACAGGATCCAACAGCTGTTTATGTTTTTAAACCCATTTTGCACAGAGAGGCATTTTTTAAAAATGTATTGATAGCAATGTTGAATATTATTACACAGGAAAAAACAACTACACGTAAAATAATTACACCGTGACGCCTCTGCCTTTGTAAATGGAGGGACAGTAAATCTGTGTGTATATGTAAGTATGTAAAACCTGCAGATAGTCAGATTGTTGTATGTTGTCTCTATCTGCCATTCATCTCATGTAAACAATAACGTGGCGCACAGCATGACATGAAAAAAGGCACATACCTTTGACGAACTCTGTATTCCTCGTCATGTAATACAGACGTAAACGCAAAAACTGAGTTTTAAACAATCTCAATTTTCGGTGATTCGAAAACGCCGTTTACGTGTGGACGAAAGGCCCAAACGCATAGAAACAGCTGCGTTTTCAAAAATACCCATGTAGGTGTACCCGCGATCATTTTTTCAAAAAAAAGTTTGGGAACCACTGACTTAGACAATGACTTAAAATAACTAAATAAATAGGTGCCCTGAGGCAATTGAAGATGGCAGCCGATTTGCAAGACTTGTTTCTAGAAGGTCTCGGGGTCATTTTTGTGAGAAGAAAATCATAGAGGACTGACTCTGTTTGCTCCATCTCTCCAAAACTTGGGAATTTCTTTGAGTTAGGTCTCCCACAACTGCTCCCGTTGATGTCAGTGGTTTCACCTTTGGACTCAGCAATTTAATTTTTTTTTTTTTTTTGGAGTAAGGCAGCAGGGATGTGCAGCTTTATTGGCTAAAAATTGGCAATGTTGACTGCTGTCAGCTTATAGGAAAAAAATATTTGTATTTTGTACCACATATCTTGGATTCAACTTAATGAACTTGATAGTGATTATTCAAAGATACCGATTATTAACAAGGTTAGGATTACGACAGTTATTAATTATAACAAAGACTTCTTTGTCTCACTCTGGAATAAACAACAAAAAACCCCAATAAACTAACAACATATTTTCTCTCATGACAAAACCGTCATTTTAAACAACCCATTAATGAAGCAATCTTAGCTAATCTTGTGCACCACATACATTTAGTCGTTTCAGTGATTTCCACTGAGAAGCAATTTAATCATTCAGCTTGTTAAATATGAAAAAATAGTGGAAAATTATACTGTCAATTATAGGTGACGCATTCAAGCGAAAAGCTCAAATCCAAAAAAATTATTTCCAGTTAATGGTACCAGTTTAATTAAACTAATTTATTATTGTTTGTGTTCAGAGACACTTTGGTGATAAACCACTAAGAAACATATTTGTGAGGATCGCTTTGTTTGCCTGAGATAAATAGTAACAAACAAATTGTAGTCTGAAATATCCGTGAAGGCAGATGCTTTTTTCCCTTTAAGGCAGAGGTCCTTCTGGCCTCTCATTACTCTTAATTTTGGCACACCTTGATCACCATACTTCAAACAATTATTCCCATTGATTAAACTTTAATCACCTGGCCTGGAAAATATCAGAAAACAGTGAATGTGCTGTTCATCACAGGTGATGTATTTATGCCCCAAACAATACTACTGCTGTTTCATTCCTGGTTTATTATTGTCTTAAATCTTCTCATCAGATTTCTCCCAGATATCTTCTTTCCCTACTAAATCTGAAGATATTCATTTCACCGAGAAGAAAAGCAGCAAATCTCAGAAAATTGTTCACACTTGCATCACAATCACTGGTGGTGACGGTGGGGGTCTTCAGCTTCTGTAAATGTCTGACTCGTCTTCATGAGGGATGTTAAAATGGACGCTGAGGCTGCGGAGCGATGAGTCTGCAGTGTGCGCCCTCCCCGGGTGAATTTCACGCAGGGAGCTGTTATGTAACAGCTGATGGATCCGTCCTGACCACAGCAGCATCGCACTAAGCTGCAGCCGTCTGTGTGCCACATTAAACCTGCCCTGTCCTCTCCCCGTTACTGTGCACTCACCTCCAGCCATTTTGGACCAGACCTGCTCTGTCACGGCTGATTATTATTATTAATATTATTATTGCTATTATTATTTTAAAAATAACAATCAAACATCCCATTTTTGCCTTTTCCCCTTTTAGATTTGTTACGTTTTAGGTTTTTAATCATTTGAACAGTAAACACAGTAAAGTATAAATGATTTAAGCAGAAATTTCCACGTTTTGTTGGCATTTTGCTGTGAAAAACACTAAAAACAATCTTCTTTTTAAAGCTGCACTGATTTGATAAACCAGCCTTACGTCATGTGTTTAATTCCCTGTTATGTCATAAACATACAGCCCTTTAATTGTTTATTTATTTGCTGAGAATTGAGTATTATTATGGTTGCGTGGGTGATTGAACTGGACTCAATACACACGTCATTTATAGATATTGATTATCAATATCTAAAAACACCTGCTGGACAAACAGAGCTGTGCGTTTATAAATGAGCAATAAAATACGAGTAAAAATGGCGGGTCGTGCACCCACCCCAGCTCCGTCCTTCATGATGATCTTCTTGACCAACAGCACTCGGCCGGTGGCTGCCGCCGGTTCTCCCGCCGTCTCTTCGCACCTGCCGCGGGTCACGAAGCATCCGTGCCGCGTGGATATCCGCGGTTCTCCGGGCGCTTCCAGGGTGTCTACTTAATGAGTCCCCACGCAGAAGCTAAAATCGAGCTAACGGAGGATAACGATTACAGAAACGGTGACCGGTAATATCCACAGCACCTCTTTCTCTGGATCCTCAGTTAGTTCTCTTCAGCACCGAAACGTCCGCAGCAGCTCGGAGACGACGTCACTTACACTCAACACCCAGAGGACTTCCGGCTGGTGCTCTTTTCACAATAAAAGCCGAACATAGTCACGTCATTCCATAGACTGTATATAAAAGATTGAGCCCTCACTGTAATGTCATAAAATTCGCATTTTGGAGCCTAAACGGCAGAGGTGGGTAGTAACGAGTTACATTTACTGAGTTACATTTACTTGAGTAAGTTTTTGAAAAAAAGTTACTTTTAAAGTACCTTTTTTGCACGATACTTTTTACTTTTACTTGAGTACATTTGTGAAGAAGAAACAATACTTTTACTCCACTACATTTGCAAAATTCAACTCGTTACTTTTTAAAAAATAATTCGTTTAACACATTAGATAACATGCCGCCAGTGGTTTCCAGTAGCTCTTTTACCAATCAGATGCGGCCATGCAGTCACATGACCAGTTTGAAACTGTGGCAGGCAGAGCGGGCCAAGCGTTTCAAAGTAGCGGACACACGGAAAGAAACGCATGAAAACATGGCATGCGATTTTTTTTTCAGTCGCGTTATTCAGCTCCTGCTCAAACTGTACAATTGAATCTCAGGGGTTAGAAGTTCAAAGGTCACGATGCAGGGTCTCACACTATACGGCCTGATGCTCTGGTGCGACTTGAGTGCTCAAACTGTGCGTCCATAACATGAAGCTTATCATACAAAATCTGTCTCTTGCTCTCCCTCTCTATCTTTCACTCACACAGACACACACCACCACCATCAACTTTGCTAAATTACTCATGAAACACATTGACCAGGCAGCTGCAATTGAGCAGCAATGTCCATCCAACTCTTTTCGTGGTTGTAGTCGTGATAATTTTGTGAGGCCACATTGAAAAGCCTCGAATACAGAAGTGTAGTACGGATTCGTAGAGCTGCCACCCAGGCAAAAGAAAAATAGAGCTATATCACGTTATAACGTGAAAAGTTTATTGTTCTAACAACATTATTACACTATACATAATTGTCACGTTCGTACAATATAAATATTATATTGTACGAACGTGATAATTATGTATAGTGTAATAACGTGATATTATATTGTTCAAACGTGAAAGGTATATTGCACTAACATGAAAAATATATTGTTAGAACAATAAACTTTTCACGTTATAACGTGATACAGCTCTATTTTTCTTTTGCCTGGGTGGCAGCTCTACGCTTCCGTACTCGGATGAGCTTGCCACAGTTCTACAAGTTGTGCCTCCATCTCATGTCCACTGCCATGCTGCTCCGCCTTTTCACTTTCATTTCTGTTTGTGCATGCGCAGTGTGAGAGGCTGCGTTGAGGGACGACAGGATTTCAAACAGGTTTGATTTTCTTGCGACCATACGATTGATGATTTGGAGCTGGTCGTGAGGTGTTAATCGCTTTTTATTACCCCATGTATACTACATGATGCATGACACACGATTAAGGCGAAACTCGGGCCGATCCCCAAAATGGTTGCGCGACTGAAAAATTGGCTCAAAATGGGCCAAAAAAAATTGCACAGTGTATGCCCAGCTTTTGGAGGCTAGCTTCATCCAACTCCCTACCCTGTGGTTGGAAGGGGTGTTTTTCATAATTTTGCAGCCACGCAGACTGAGGTGTTTGTCTTCTCAGGAGAGCCATGGAGAGATTAGAGGCTACATCGCAGCTCCAGTCATGGCCAGGGCTGGACTGGGACAAAAAATCAGTCCGGGCATTTTGACTAGAGACCGGCCCACCAGGTATTATAGGAAAAACCATAAAGCCTTTGAATGAAAACAGACGCTGTTGTGACAGTGATGTACACTGTCTTGTTGGTATATGTATGATTTCTATACATTTTACGTCAGATAAAAACTTTTTAAATGAGAATAAGAAAGAAAAGTATTTCTTTGTGCCCCCTCTCCCTGTTAATGTCCTACCTGCCCCCCTGGGAAAACTTTGCTAGACCCGCCCCTGCACAGTTACCAGCTGTCAGCTACTTAGAAAAGGATCCTGGTGTTATTTGTCTCTCAGAAACAGTTCATAACTTCAACTCATTCTTGTCACCTAAAAGGTAAACCTGTTTCTCCATCACCTGTTCAGCTCTGATGATTCAGTAAGGACATCTCCTGGTTTCATCTTCATGTTTCCCTCTCACCAGATAACCAAACCGATATCATGACCAGCAGCTTTTACAGCCCTGGCTCCAACAAACATCAGCTGATACTAGAAATTAATATTAAATAAATTCTAACAACAGCCGATCAAGTGCAACATCTTTCTGGCACAAAGTGGGTGATAAACAAGCAAGAGAGAAAAGCCGATCAGCTGATCATTGATCAGTTTCATGATTGAAGTAGCAACAGGAGAAGGAGGGGGAGAGGATGAGAGGAGAAGAGGCAGCTGGCAGCGTAAAGACAGAATAACTCCAGCTTTGTGTCTTTTTCCATTGTAGCTGAAGTACGGGACAAACTCTGTTTGTTTTCAGCTCAATATGAAACGCGTAATATTTTTTCTGAATGCGGGACGATTCCGTTTGTACGGGATGGTTGGAAACTCTACTAACTAACCTTATGAATAAAATAAAGTTCACTATCAGTAACATCATAGCACCCACCAGCTGTATAGAAACTCCGTCATGCTAGCTAGCACGCAGTACGAGTTATTGTAACTGAATGTAAAAAGTCAGCACAACGAAAATAAACTACACCTGAACTTGGTTTATATCTGACCCAGATACACTGCAGGTCATAACTTCTTACCTGAAGTTCATTTCACCTGCAGCCGCCTCGGGTCTCTCCTCCTCCTGCCTCACCTTTCCCTCATCCACCTGCTGGCCTCTGTGGAAGCTCCGCCATAGCCACCACCAAACAACTGAGTTATTTTTTACACATGACCAGCATCTGGCCAATCCACCACCTTTCATTGTTTATACTCTTACAAAAAAAAAATCATCGGCCCATAAAAATGAAAAATTACCCGGTGGGCCGATGGCCAGTCCTTCCCCAGAGTAACAGCCAAACAGTGCAAGGAGGATCTATTGGTTCTTATTTTAAACTTAATCTGGAATTCTTTGCAAACTGTTTGTGTGGGATATGAATGACAAGATTTTGTTTTTCAACAGGAGTTAGTAAAAAACATCTCCAGTGTGATCAAATGTTCTTGCCAAACATCTGCAGCTTGGCAGTGTATACAGAACTATAATGACCAGACCTAATTCTTTTGAAAACCATACATCTTTCCACAGGTCTCAACTTCATCAGACATCACCTAGACTCAGAGCTGGATGAGGCCAGCACAGACAGCAGCCTAACTGGCTAAGATGATGGATCCATGGGTTCAGGAAAGCCAGAAGCAGGGGAGCTGGAGAGGTACCTTTCATGTCCATTCACTGGAGGTGTGGATCTATTGCATGGCTTTCCTCACATCAAGAAGCTGTCGATCAAAATCAATACAGCTCTTCATGCATCTGGAGCTTGTGAAGGACTTCTCAGTCATGCAGGACTCCTGTTCACTGCTGAACAGTTACAGCTTCACAGAAAGAACCTTGAGAGCAAACGGCTGCTGAAGCTTAACCATCACTTCACTGAGTGAAGAAATGCCCGTTTTTGCTAAATATGCAGAAATAGATGCACACCCATACAATTTATGGTAAACTGAGCTGCCTTGTATGAACATATGTTGAAGATGCCTCGTTCTAATGGTTTCTCTGAGGCTGCTGTGCCATTTGGAGCAAAAGTGAATGTAAAGTTTACAGCATATCTTGTCACTGGAAATTGTTTGCACTGTTTATATTATTTACTGTAGGCATTGGTGAAAAAAGCTTTATGTTGTGAAAAACTGAAATCTGGAAATTAGAATTGTTGTGCCTTATTTTGTTGATCTTTTTACATGTATTCCTTTTGAAAATACAAAAATTTGTATATTTATTTATTTTTGTTTGTCTGATAGCATTTATTTAAAAAATAAATCTGACATTTCAAACAGTTACTCACTACTTGAGTAGTCTTTTCTCCAAGTACTTTTTTACTCTTACTTGAGTAACTTTTTTGAACACTACTTTTCACTGTTACTTGAGTAATAATATTTTAAAGTAATGCTACTCTTACTTGAGTACAATTTTTGGATACTCAACCCACCTCTGCTAAACGGTTCAGATATTTTTCTTCACAAGCAAAGGGAAAGTTAACAGATTACATTTCAACAGTATGGCTCAGTTTTCCTACCATTTCCTTTTCAGTAATACAGTAACATAATGGATTACTGTACTAACTATTAGGGCTGGGCCATATCATACCGTTCATGGTAATACCGGTATAATGTTGGGCAATGATAAGAAATTGAAATATCCCGATAGAATATCGGTAAAACGCGCATGCGCAGTGCCTTTGTTTACATACGCACATGGCGGCGATGCAGAATGAGAAGGGCGAAAGTGGATCGTTATTTTTGGTAGAGCATGCTAGCGGGCCGTCGTTATTACCGTGTTTTTTGGAAAATACAGCACACTTAAAATCAATCCTTTGATTTTTCTGAAAATCGACAGATTATAATCCCGTGTGCCTTATGTATGAACTCTGGTTGTGTTTACTGACCTCGAAACGATTTTATGTCGTGCACGGCGCTCGAAAATCTGTCAAATGTTTCAGTACAACTTTGCTAAGCTACGAAGCCGCACTGCTTGATGGATTGTTGGAGCATTGTGGCTACCGTAGGCAGGAGCCTCGCGGAGTGATACGTACAGTGCTTCAACATAATATTACCGTATTGTGTGTGTATAACCTCTTTTTAAGTTTTGTGGATATTATACATGGTTATGCTGAGGATATGTCGGCCAGTTTCCACTGGAAATGCCTTTTGGTTAAACTGTCAGCAAGGAAT